GGGCCTCGCCTCACCCAGAGCTGCTCCAGGTTTATCCCGTGCAGACACAGGCAGCTCAATGACATCGTGCCTGGAGAGAGTTCTGTTGCTATGACATGGGGGCCACAGTAGCCTTGTCTTTTTGACTCAGTACTCCTCACTGCCACCCTGACCCCTGCTCGTGGGTTCAGGCAAAGGTGAAGGAAGCCTGCTGTGGCCTCCTCCGCTGACTTTCTCGAAAGCCTTTCTTTTGAAGCAGAAGCGCAAGTACCCGAATGTATTCACTCACAAAGCATCCCCCACGTGGCTACAGACTCAGATATGCCTTAACTTTGGGGCTGAACTTTAAGCAATATGTCTGAAAGCAAACATAAAAATTAATCTTTTATATTTAACCTAGCAAACAGAATAATTTGAGTGAGCAAAATATTAAAAAAAAAAAATACGCACCATAATCCAGCAAAACAAAACCAAACCCAAACCACTTCCTCTGTGCCAGGAAGCAGCCGTGAGGTCCACGAACAGTTGTCTTCTAATCACAGGCTCTGCCTAACTGACAGATGGCTTCAACCGCACTGGGAAGACACAGTTCGAGAGAACAGAACCTTACATGGCTCACAGAGCTTCCCCCGAGTTTGTATGGCCATTTATTGTTTTGCTCGGCTCACAGAGCTTCCCCCGAGTTTGTATGGCCATTTATTGTTTTGCTCAAGTGACAAAAGAAGTTTCGGTAGGAAAAGTGTGCAGGTCAGAATGGTCTATGATCATCAGAAGGCAGTGCATTCTGTTCCCACTGCCCTTACGTTGGGCCGGACCATGTGTGGCACAAGCATCCAAGTCCCACAGATGCAGAAACCAGCCTTCCCTCTAAGATTTTGCTTTTTTGGAGCCCTTGTGCCCTGTTGGTGGGAATGCGAGCTGGTGCGGCCACCGTGGAAAAGAGATGGAGTTTCCTCAAAAAAATTAAAAAATAAGCCATAAAAAAAGAATGAAATCTTACCATTTGCGATGACAGGGATGGAGCTAGAGAGTATTATAGTAAGTGAAGTCAGTCCGTCAGAGAAAGACAAATACCATAGGATTTCACTCATATGTGGAATTTAAGAAACAAAACAAATGAGCAAAGGAGAGAGAGAGAGAGAAACCAAGAAAGAGACTCTTGACTGTAGAGAACAGACCGGTGGTTACCAGAGGGGAGGTGGGTGGAGGCTGTGAAACAGGGGATGGGGTTGAAGGGGTGCCCTTATCATTGTGAGCTCTGAGTCACGTATAGAACTGTTGACTCACTATATTGTACACCCAAAACTAATATAACACTGGATGTTGTCTATACTGGAATTAAAATTTTAAAACTTCATTAAAAAATTAAAAATAGAATTGCCATATCATCCAGTAATTCAACTACTGGGTATTTACCCCCCCCAAAACCCAAAAATACTAATTCAAAGGGATACATGTGGGTCACCTGGGTGGCTCAGTCAGTTAAGTGTCCGACTCTTCTTTTTTTTTTTTTAATTTGAGAGGGACAGAGTGCAGAGCGAGAGCGAGCATGAGTGGGGGGAGGGGCAGAAGGAGAGGGAGAAGCAGGCTCCCCTATCCAGGGCTCAATCCCAGGACCCTGGGATCATGACCTGAGCCAAAGGCAGATGCTTAACTGACTGAGCCACCCGGGGAACCCGTGTCTGACTCTTGATTTTGGATCAGGTCATGATCTCAGTGTCGTGAGTTGGAGCCCTGCACTCAGTGTGGAGCCTGCTTAAAATTCCCTCTCTCCCCCTGCCCCTTCTCCTACAATTGCACTTTTTCTCTCTCTCTCAAAAAAAAGGGAATACATGCACCCCTATGTTTATTGCAGCATTATTTACAATAGCCAAATTATGGAAGCAGCCCGAGTGTCCACCCATAGATGAACAGATATATATAATATATATATATATATAAAGGAATACTAATTATCCATAAAAAAGGATGAAATCCTGCCATTTGCAACAACATGGATGGATCTAGAGGGTATCAGGCTAAGTGAAATAAGTCAGACAGAGAAAGATAAATAACACAGGATTTCACTCATATGTGGAATTTAAGAAACAAACAAAGAAAAAAAAAAAAAGACAAACAAAAGCCAGACTCTTAAATACAGAGAACAAACTGGGGGTTGCCAGAGGGGAGGTGGGTGGGGGGATGGGTGAAATAGGTGATGGGGGTTAAGAGCACATTTACCATAATGAGCACAGAGTCATGCAGAGAATTGCTGAATCATTATATTGTACGCCTGAAACCACTATAATACTGTATGTTAATTATACTTGAACTAAAAAAATTTTTTTAATTAAAAATACACAATTTCCATAAAAAAATAATAAAATAAAATCTCTTTTTTTTGACCAAGCTCCCCTCCTGCATGACTGCAGGAAACCCAGTTCCCTCCCAAGGTTTTCCAGAGACATGGACCTGGACAACCCTCCCCCCCCCACCCCCCCCACCCCCGTCTGCTTGCTTCTGACGGACTCCCTCCAGCGGTCCCTGAGCCTCTTGTCTCTGTAGCAGTCTCTCTTGGGTACTACAGTCTTGTGCTCTGGCTCCTTCATCCCCCGTCTCAAGACAAGGCTTGAGAATAACAAAAGGTGATTGTGAGCATTAGGCAGACACTGGGGAGCAGTTTATCTCTACTCCTGGTGTCTCAGGGGACTCCCTTCTGTCCCGGTCTCCCCTCAGCCTCTGGCCTGCAGCCATAGAGGAGGGCTTCATTGTTTTACTCAATTGGCATCCCTGACTGACATGTTTTCCACTCCTTTTCTCCCACTCCCAGCCAGCAAAACCAGATCCCTTTACCATCACAATACTCTCTGCAGAGCTAATCCAGTGTTTCCTGAAGTTGGCCTTTCAATCAGTAAGCAAAACACCCGGATTGTGCACAGCCCCTGCTGGCTCCTGTGTCAGGACTACTGGGCCCCTACCCTGAAGGAACCCGGCACGGTCAAGTTCTCTGACTTTCCCTGTGACGTGCCCAGTGAACCAACACCACCACTGACCCCACTCGCCCATCCCCCCAAAGGGAAAAGGAATAAAAACACTAAAAAAAAAAAAAAGCACACAAACAAGAAATCCGTGTGTAACATCTCAGAAACATTTGCATTCACATGACTTTCCCTTAGGGTTTCCTGGAACAGCAGGTATGTGCCTTACAGTTACAAGACTGAAAAGGTCCACCCGAATGGTTCCACCCAAAGCAGAGATTTCAGTTTTGACCCTAGAAGGCAGAAACTGCTCCAGGTTTGTAAACAGCGCTTTAAGAAACCCTCCTCCCCCCGCACCACCCCACCCCTGCAAAGTGTAGGGTGTGCGTTCCAGAGCTCACGGCTTTATGGGCAGCTGGGAGGGAAGAGAAGACAGCTGTCCAGCAGGTGGTCTCCGCCCCATGCTCCACTGTGACTTGCGTCCTTCTAACCAACTCAGCTTCTCACTGCTGTCCCTGAGCACTGCTCGTGGGTTCAGGCCAAGGTGGGGAGAGCTAGGGCGTGGCACGTGGTAGATGCTCAAAAATGTTTGTTGGATGAATGAATGAACGTAAACCCTGATTACACGCCTGAGGCCCTCGGCCCCACTGGGTGCAAACCCAAAGAAGCCACAGAAGTGTCTTTCTGTCCCAAACCTAAGCAAGAGATGGATGAGCCTTTAGTTTAGAAGTTACTAAACACTCTCTGGCGTGGGGGAGTTGTCTGTAAATCAAACAACATCCGGTTTACTGGATTAATGATTACTATGGTCTGGCAGGTCAGTCGTTCTTCAGAATCAAAAGGTTCACTAATACCTGAGCGACTTAATTCAAACCTAAAAGGAATATACTTTATAAAAGATACATTCCTGGTGGTTGGGTTCTACTCCAAAGGAAGTCTCAACCTAGACGATAATGAAGAAGGAGCAGGAGGGAGTGGTATCGGGAACTCAGCAGATTCTGGGGGGTGGGGGGAGGTGATTGGAGGGACCCGGGGTAATAACGGCTTTACCCTCATCATGATTCACAGAAATGAGGGCATACGCTCTGCCTACCAACACCCAGATCTGCCACGCAAAGCAGAGAGAGAGGCCATTGGGAAGCGCAGATGGAAGACAGAGACATACACCCAGTGCCAGCGTCTAGGGAACAGGAGAATGTAGACAAGTTCGGATTGCTAAGAAAAGAATGGAAGAGAGGGGGTTAGGGAATGGAAGAGTTTCACTGAGGGTCTACTTTGTTCAAACAGGAGAAAGGCTCATGGGCGATCCTAACAGATCTCATGTGAAATGCTTTGGGGGCTCCATCTTGCTCTCGTCCACATCGATCACAGTTCCTAGCCATTCTGAGGGTCCCTCTCTAGCCTTCCCAGATGGCTTCAGCTCTCGGTGGGCACCAACAGTCCCTGGTCATAATTCTGGATCTGCTGTCATGCCAACAGCGGTCAACACACAAAAAATCGCTCCTTCCTCTCCCTCATGCGCACAGAAGTCCACCGAGGAAATTATTTTAAATATTCATCTGAAATCAGTGAAAATAACAGTTTCAGATTTCCTGGTAAGTCTAAAGTAGAAAAGCAAAGTAAATGTTGATTATACCTTAAAGCAAGGGGGTGTTAAACAACAAAGAATAAGGCCGGTGTATGATTTTGGATTAAGCACAGATGGCCCCGAATAGCAAGCCACTGAGCTTTCTTCCACTCCACCCCACCCCCACCCCACTCAACCCCACACAGCGCTGCAGGTCAGGAAGAGCAGGATTCTCGTGAATGCAAAAAGCTGGAGACTTTCTAGTTCAAGAACAAGGACTTCTGAAAAAGAGCTCCCGGTTCCTGGGAATGTTCAAGCAGGGGTTTCCCGGCTGGTGTAGGTGGTATCCAAACACCGCAGACCCGAGTCAGCCTGAGAAACAAGCAAGGCCCTTCCCGCAGGGAGGGGGATGAGACAAGCCTATGAAACGCCCAGCACCGTGCCTGGCGCCTAATGGATGCATAATAATAAATGTTAGGTTCGTCTCACCCCGCGAGTCCACGGATCTAGGATCACATATATTGGATGTATTTCTGGAGGGGTAATTGGATACATTCTAGATTCTTCCAGAAGCACACAGTTTTCTCGAGTGGGGTTATGGAGAGAGAAGGCAAGGGGGGCAAGGAGGCACGTGTCCTTGCCGATGGCAGGAGTACTTCCTCTGCTTGGAGTCCCGAGCGCCTTCAGGCAGTTACGGGCTTGGGCCTTATGCTCTCCACCACGGCTGAGATGACCGCTCCTGCAGCCTTTGCCCCTTCCATCAGGGCGTGCTCTACCTGCAAAGCAGACCGGTCCACAGGACACTCAGGGGCCATCCCAGGCTTGTGCCCTGCCCTGCCCCCACCGCCCCACTCCCTTTTCAGCACCCGGCCTGCCTGGAGGAGGAAGCCACCTGCGCTAGCCTCTATTTCCAAAGATCCTAGGGTTGCGAGAGACCTAGAGAATTCAGGATGGCTCGAGATGAACGTCAGAGGCAGACGCACTCCCTGTCCCCACCGGGGGCATCCACGGTTCCTGGCCTTCTTCCCTCAGAGCCATTCAGCCCAGGGTCTGCCTCTAGGGTAGGGCTCAGAGGCAAAGGATCTCGGAGGGGCTCAGCCACCGAGGCCCTCATCCTGCAATCAGGGAACCTGAGAACCAGGGAGGGGAACTCACCTGGACAAAGTCACGGTGGGAATTAGTGTCTGAGCGTGGCTCACACTCCATAGAAGGCCCCTTATCATCCATTTGGTCCCTGGGGTCTTCTTGTCGTGCACAAATGCTCTTGGGATAGGAGATCCCTTACACTGGAGCCCCCAAGCCCCCCCAGCCCCTGCACTGGAGTGAGGCCTCCGGAGAATGGAGTACAGGCTGAGGGAGGACAGAATACAAAGGAGGAAGGTGCAGAAAGTGGGGGGGGACAGGGAGTGGGTGACCTGCTCACGCTCACTCAGCAAGAGTAGAGAGACCAGCATTGGGATTTGAGCCCAGTACCCTGAGGGAACATAAGAACCACAGAAAAAAAGGCAGAAAAATGATGTTCCTCCTTTAATTCTTCATTTCTCAGTCTATTAAAAAGGGGATAATAAATACATCCTCTGCTCCTCTCATGGGGTTTTAGTAAGGATCAAATAGGAATGAGGGCTGCTCAATTTGTCACAGATATTTCGAGCTATTTTTCAAAGCTCTTGAACACACGGGACTGTGCCTCACTGGATTTATCCCCGCCCTGTGTGGTGGCGGGGGCGGGGACGGCGGGTCACAAACCCAAAGACAACACGCACGGACCAGGCAGGTAAGGTGGGCAAAGCTGGTAGGTGGCATGTCGACCCCCACAAGTCCCATCTAAAGAGGCAGCCACTACTCGGCCGTACAGGGTGTCAGCAAGCAGGAACACGGGCCTGAAGGCCTGATCAGTTAGTTGTTCTAGAAAGGCTGTAATTCCAGATCTTTTTATATAAAACTTCTATGTTTTTAAATGTTGGCAAATAGTACAAATTAAAAAAAGAAAAAACAAACCACTACTCATCCAAGCAAAACATGTCTGTGGGCCAGATGTAGCTGAAAACCTCACTTCATCCCTGTTTTGTAGAAGAACAAACAGTCTCAGAAATAAAATGGTCTGGCCAAGGAGACCCCCCAGTGTCCTAGTTCTACAGCCCAGAGCCTTTGCACTCCTCCACGGGTTAACAGAGGGGAAACCACCTCCTGAACCGTAAAGTCCTGTAGAAGTAGAAGCCCACCAGTACAACAAAGAGCACGAAACCACTGACCACCGTTCTGATCACTGATGAGATGACAAGCCCCAGCAAGAAGCCACCGTCCGAGCAAAAGACGTCATACCTGCTGGCTCCGGGGCACACCGTATCTGAGGTCATTGACAAAGTGCTCACAGTTCCCTTCGATCAGGCTGTACTGCACTATCTTGTTGATCATCTTTTTTGTACGCCGGATGATCTGGTCCACGGGCAGGGGCAGGTACGTCCCGTCCAGCTTGTTGTTGATCTTCCAGGAGCAGCCATGCAGCACGTCCTCCAGGCGGCTATACTTCACGACCGCGCGGTTGCTGAAGACGGAAGTGATGCTGCCCACCTCAAATTCCTCACCTAGAGACCAAGACGAACAGAAGCTGGAAAGCTGTGAGGGACAGCAGGGGGCAGAGCACTGGCTCATTCTAAGCTGTGGGTCAAGGTGCTTCCCTCCGAGGCCTCGGCTTCGGCATCTGTCAAATCCAAGGCCAAGGACCAGGAGTTGGATGAAATGAGCTGCCCCCCAGTGAGACACCTGTCGCCTGAATATCAGCCTGCCTATCAACCTTTTTTCTTTTCTTTTTTTTTTTTTTTTAAATGACAGATGGTGTTGAGCATCTTTTCATGTGCTTATTGGCCACGGAGAAAAGTCTATTCAAATCCTTTGCCCGTTTTAAAAATTGGGTTATTTGTCTCTGTATTATTGAATTGTAAGAATTCTTTACATATTCTGGGTAATAGAACCGTGTCAGATATATGTTTGCAAATACTTTGTGCATTCTGTGACTTGTCTTTTCACTTTATTTTTTTTTTCTTTTTAAGATTTTATTTTTTTATTTGAGAGAGAGAGAAAGAGAACACAAGCAGGGAGGAGGGGCAGCGAGAGAGGGAGCAGACTGCCTGCTGAGCACAGGGAACCGGATGCGGGGCTTGATCCCAGGACCCTGAGATCATTCATGACCCAAGCTGAAGGCAGATGCTTTAACTATCCGAGCCACCCAAGTGAGTGTGGCTGCTTGGGACCAACCTTCCCAGGAAGATTTCTGCCCTGCACCGCCCTCCCCACTGTCAGCAGTCTCTTTCTCATAAAACTCTAGAACTGCCTTACAGCGCAGCCCCAGACTCCATTCTGCACTGTACTGACCTGACCAAGTACTAGGATTTGAGTCTTGCTTTCCTAACCAGACTTCAGTCATCTTCACAAACGTGCGCTAAGCACCCTTAGGTGTGAGCGTCCGCTCCTGGCTGTGGGGCTGGCATGGGGTTCTGTGACCTGCCTCCCTCTGCAGTCTCAGCTGGGCACCGGGGAGGCCAAGCAGACTGGGTGCCTCCCACCCAGCTTCCGCCCAGAGCCACTCTGCCTTTCTCTCTACTCAAATATTTGAGATTTGAAAACAGGGTTCCATAGATTTGAAAGAAGAACCATTTGAAAGGTGCTATATTATCATATTCAGTCCCTAGAGGAGACAGCTGCTCAGAGACGGTCAAGAACCTGCCCAAAGCCAGGGCGGCCCGGTGGTAATTTAAAACCAAGGCCATTTTCCTGCTCTGACCATAAGGATAGGCAAATGTGTGTGCCCTCCCCCTCCGAAAGTTGACCGAGAACAAGAAGTGTCCCTTGTCCTCTTCATACGTATTTGAGGAATATCTCCTGATGTTACAAAAGCTGGGAGCGGGCCATTCAGCTTTCAGGAACAGAATTCGTTTTTAGAGGAAGATCTGATGGGGAAGGTGGGGACATATCAGTTAGCGACCGCTTTGGTTATACGAGAGGGAGGCTCCTGGACTTAGTCTGGAAAGGGGATGTGGAGGTGATGTGAAGTGCTTTTTACCTTCTCCGTGTGTAAATGGGGCAGGGAGAGGGGCTCTGCTACAGGTGAGAGGCGGGGCCCAAGGATGAGATGGTGGGGGCGGGGGTGAGGGCCGTGAGCACAGTGTGGCCACAGGCCTTTGGTCCCAGCGCCTTTCTGCAGTTTCATCCTGAGTGGGCAGAACTCACACTGGATACAAAATTCAAAAGGCATCAGGGCATATGCAATGGTGTCCCCCAGTCTCCCCTTCTCCCAGCACCTCCAGGTCCCTTCGCCCAAGAGGACCACTGTGACTGAGTGTGTCTCCCATTCTATCTTCTACCGTCACCACGTCCTGCCATCAAATCTCCACTAAATTTTAATTAGTCACCAGTTGAATCTCTGCCTTGTGTTAGGCAACCTTGAGACACTTGAGAAAGGAAGGCTGTGCATCCTCCCTGAGGCGGGAGCAGCCTGGGACAGGCAGAAAGAGCAGGGAGACGAGCCAGGGTGGACGTGCCCAAGCCATCAGGAAGCCGGAAGCAGCACTTGGGGGCCATCAGAACATGCAGGCATCTGCATCCCTCCTGGGGAAGCCTCGGAAATATGAGGAAGGGTACCGAGGCTCAGCGAACACGGGGGACCCCTTGTGCATTGCATCTCCCTTAGGGCTGGACACTCGGTGGTGTTTGGTAGACAGAGATCAAGCTCCATCACCTAGTCCACTAAGGGCCAGGAATGCGTCGAGTGTTTTATTGCTAATGAAGGGCAGCAGCCGAGGAACACAATAACTAAATGCACTTCTTCTTACTCTGCTAACTTCAGTATCAATATCAATATGTCAAAGAGTATCCACCCTTACTCGGGGCAGCCAGATGTACCACGCAGTCATCTTCCACATAGATGGCCCAGTGCTCATAGCCGATTCGAAAAATCTCAATCAGGTCTCCAGGTCTGGGTCTTGGTTTGCCCTGTAATGGGAGAAATAAGATAAAATAAAGAAACGGCACATGCCCAAGGAACTCTGGAGACACTGTTGGGGGGGATTAGCTACAGCTCAGCCTAAAGACACTGGGTTTCATCACTTTGTAGAAATCCAGGCTACCAGAAGCTCCCTTCCCATACAAGACCAAAGGACCCGCCCCCCACTCCTGCTGTCAATCGTTATTAAAGCCACAGAGGCTAACTGAGCTACCTATCAATGTGTTGCCACTGGGCTCCAAATGCTTATCACAGATAAGCTCTGTGATATGTGCGGGAACTCTTTTAAGCTTTTCTCCTTGAAAATGAGCACTTTGTTAAGCATTGCAAGAGGAAAGGGTTCTCCCGCAGTTTCTGGCTTGGGGCAGGGGGTGGGGCGGGTCTAGTGTGGGTGTGAGGACTTCTGGTGGAGCTCTGCCTGAGCCAGAACCCTCCAACAATAACCTTTCTGAGCCCTTTGGCAGAGAAATCAGTGCCCAAACATCACCCGTACCTGCTGATGTCTCGATTCCCTCTGCACGTCTCCCACATGGACCACCTGTGGTCCAGAGGGTGCCCCCCCCTCCTTTGCATGCTCAAACCACCTGCTGACAGCCAGCCCCCCGCCCCCTACGCTCCAAAAGGTTGTACTTGCCAGGAGTTACAGTGCCACCCCAGCCTGGCCAAACCAAACTTCTCTGCTCTCCTCTCTAACGAGGTCTGAACCCCTTCCAAGTCTGTCCTTCCCTGAGTATTCTCCCTCAGCCCTGGGAGGCCAAATTGAGGTTTTTCATTGCTTATAGTTACTCTTACATAGTTTAACAATTCTTTATAGTAAACTTCCCCCTGTTTAATCTACTGGGTAGTTTCTATCTCTTGATTGGACCCAGGATGCTGATGCTCTATCTCTTCAAAGAGGCCTGGGGAAGAGACTGTGTGGGTGTATGTATGCCCGTATGTGCACAATAACTTAAAAATTTATTAAGAGGGTAGATCTCATATTAAGTGCTCTTACCACAATAAAAAACAAAGAAAGTAAGAAAAGAAAACCTAGAGCTGGGCAATCAGAGCCTGGGGAGACCGACGGAGCCATGGAGTCGATCACACCGCCCCACTCACCCATCAGCTTTACAACGGCTTTGTCACTTATGCAACAATTTGCCAGTTTTAGTCTAATTTCCTCAAGGCTGCATCTCACCTCTCAGTTCCCAGCTCTATTTCCCTAGCGGAGGACAGCAATTTGCCTGGCAAAAATTCACAGAAGAACCATGAGAGACTATGGACTCTGAGAAACAAACTGAGGGTTCTAGAGGGGAGGGGGGTGGAGGGATGGGTTAGCCTGGTGATGGGTATTAAAGAGGGCACGTTCTGCATGGAGCACTGGGTGTTATACGCAAACAATGAATCATGGAACACTACATCAAAAACTAATGATGTAATGTATGGTGATTAACATAACATAATAAAATAAAATAAATTTCACAGAAGTAAAAGGGGGCTTTTAACCTGTTTCTTTTCTGAGATACAATTTACAAAATTTGTTTAACCATCACCACCCTCCATTGGACTTCATCAAAATTTAAAAATTTTGTTCTTCACAAGATGTTAAGAGAATGAAAACACAAGCCACAGACTGAGAGATAATACCGCAAAGCATATATCTGATGAAGGCCTTGCACACAGAATTTCTGAAGAAACCAAGGGAAAAAATGGGCAAAAAGATTTGGACACTTCACCAAGGAAGATATATATGGAAGATGTTCAGCATTGTTAGTCATTAGGGAAATGCAAATTAAAACCACAATGAGATCCCTACAGACCTATGAGTATAGCTACAATTTAAGAGACTAAATGATGATGAGGATGTGGAGAAACTGGAACTTTCACACACCGCTGTTGGGAATGTAAAATGGCACAACCAGTTTGGAAAACATTATCTTTATGTTTCATGTAACTCTTTAAACTATGTAAGAGTTTTATGAAATGCAAATTAACGTATAGTGACAAGAAGCAGATCAGGTGATGCCTGGTGATGGGAGTGAGGAGAGGCGGATTTAAAAATACAACTACCATATGGGGCGCCTGAGTGGCTCAGTCAGTTAAGTATCTGCCTTTGGTTCAGGTCATGATCTCAGGGTCCTGAGACTGAGCTCTGTGCTCTGGACTCTGTGCTCAGCAGGGGAGACTGCTTGAGATTCTCTCTCTCCCTCAGCCCCTTCCCCCCTCAAATAAATAAATAAAGTCTTAAAAAAAAAATACATCTACCATATGATCCAGCCATTTCATTCCTAGGTATTCACCCAAAAGAAAAGACAACATATGTCCACACAAACACTTGCACACAAATGTTCACAGCAGTTTTATTTGTAATAGCCAAAAACTGGGAACAGCCCAAATGCCCATCAGCAGGTGAATGGATAAACAATGGTGTATCCATACAATGGAATACTACCCAGTAACAAAAAGGAATGAACTATTAATCACACGCAACAATATTGATATAACTTTAAATAATTACATGAAATTATGTGAAAGGAGACAGACAAAAAGAGCACATACAATATGATTCCATTGACATAAATCTCTAGAAAATGCAAATTAACATATAGTGACAAGAATCAGATCAGATGCTTCCTGCGGATGTGGGTGAGGAGAGGCGAGATTTACAAAGGGAAACAACGTTTTGGGAGTTACGGAGATGTTCATTACCTTGATTGTGGTGATGGTCTTGTGGGTGCACACATAGCATACCAAATATATCCAACTGTATATTCTAAATATGCGCACTTTATCGTATGTCAGTTAAAGCTATGTAGTTATACCTCAGTAAAGCTCAGTAGAGTTCAACAAAGCTGTTCTAAAAAATTTTTTAAGGCACAACATCCCAAATCAGGATGCGCTTCAACCTGCCACACAGTCTAAATTAAGTAAAACACAGTCTGTAGAAAAGTCGCAGGCGCCATAAAGATATGCGCTAAGAACTGTTGTGATACCCACCTCAGCGGCTTGCTTTGTTAATTTCCCTGCGCTCTCAGGCTTTGGGGTTGAATTCGACTCTGCTCTTTTCTGGTTGGGTGTGGTCTCCAAGTTAACTATGGGCTTCTCCCTAAATGAATTTTGTGAACATAGAGTTAACAAATAACACTATTCCATAATTATTGGAAATTCTGTATTACTTCAGATTTGTGATTTTCAGATCTCTTTCAATTTTGAGACCCTAGGAAACATCCTCCCCAAAGCTTGTTTCTGTGATCATGCCGTTAGCTGCCATGCAAAATAATTGCCGTTTATTGCTTTTTAAATGACTGTTAAACTGCTAATGATAGCAATGAGTAGCTTTCAGGATTTTTTTTTTTATTGCTGATCATCTTTCTTACATGTTTATCAAAATGACACTTGCATATAACTTTAAAAAAATGGTAACGGTACATAATGGCTTCTAATGAAATGCAACAGGCCTCTACTCCCTCCCTTCTCTCTGCCCATCCTCCTGGGAGAAGCAAGCCCCTTGAACTCTTGAGCTGTTTCTTCCAACAACTAGCTCCATATTTCTGAGAAATCTCATTAAGCCTCAATACTGTAACTGCAAGTATCATGAAAGAAATCAGTATATTTTGTCCCTTGAACCAAAACGTTGTTAAGAGAGGGCTGAAACCAAAGGCAGGAATATGCTTTGGGATAGTATAGTGAAATATATTGGGGTCAAAAAGGCCTGGGTTTGGGGCGCCTGGCTGGCTTAGTCAGTAGAGTGGTGGAGTGTGAGACTCTTGATCTCGGGGTTATGAGTTCAAGCCTCACGTTGGATGTGGAGATTACTTTTAAAAAAAATAAAATCTTAAAAAAAAAAAAAAAAAGACCTGGGTTTGAGTCCTGGCTCTGATCCTTGCTGTCCAACCTTGAGCTAGTAAATGAATGTGTCTGAACATCAGTTTGATTATCTATAAACTAGAGATGAGAGTATTTGTCTCGCAGAGTTGTCAGGAGGGTTAAAAGAGAGAGCATACATACACACCTGGTACATTACCAACCAAAAAATGGCATTTTCTTTGCCTTTCCTCCATGCTTTACCTCTTCTCCAAAGTACAGTGTATGGGGCTGGAGTATAGCTCTTTGGGGAACGTTCAGACCCTCAAAATTTTAAAAAGAAGCAAACCGGGGTCGCCTGGGTGGCTCAGTCGTTAAGTGTCTGCCTTCGGCTCAGGTCATGATTCCAGGGTCCCGGGATTGAGCCCCGCGTCGGGCTCCCTGCTCCACGGGAAGCCTGCTTCTCCCTCTCCCTCCCCCTGCATGTGTTCCCTCTCTCGCTGTGTCTCTCTGTCAAATAAATAAATAAAATCTTTAAAATAAAAAAAAAGAAGCAAACCATGTTTTTAATGAAAGTGAATTGAGGAAATTTGCAAGATCACATCATTCATTAGTGAGACCAAGTAGCCATGTGGTAAGCGCCAGTTCTCAGGGTTCTGGAGGTTCTTGTGGCTAGAAACTGATGCCAGGCAGGCCCGGTCAGGGCGGGGTAGGCTGGTTCCTATGGAAACCACCTCTGGATTTGCTTTACAGAACTGCCATCAAAGTCGGTTCTTCAAAGGCTTCCCCACCCTATGACCCAGTCCTTCCATACAGAGACTCTTACCCCTCCTGGACTCTTCTGCTCAGCTCTGAAGTTCCCTGCTGCCGCTCCTTGGGAGAGAGCTGGACGAACGTTTGAGATGATTCTTCTAGTGGGGGTGGGGAGGAGGATGCTATTTAAACCACAACTGCCTCCTACAGGGAATGAAATCTGTGAAGGGAGAGTTGGAGCAAACACCTTGACATCTATGTGAAGGTGGGCTCAGAGCTCCAGTCGAGAACCGTGCCCGGCCTGGTCGGCCCTCAATCAGTTTTTGGGTAAATGAAGGGGATTGTGGGACTAGATGCTGGAGAGGCCCCTGTTCCCCTGGGAAGGAGAGACTCGGGAATTCCCAGGGATAAAATCGAGAGGATGAAGTGAGATCCCAGAAATCCGGGGGCTAAACCTGACAACAGAAGCTTCTGAGGACCTAGAGTCCTAGAGCCATTGTCAACTCTGTTGGGGAGCTGCCACCTCCGCTTCCATTTCCACCCGAAATAGGGTCGGAGGGTAGATACCCGAGAGAGGCACTGGACGCCTGGCTCGCTTTGATTGAATTACCAACAAAAGATCATTCCCAAGTATGCGCTCACTCCGGTTAACGGGCATTTTGCACGACCAACACAGAGCTACGAGGAGCCCTGAAGGTATCTCTAGTGCCTTTTCTGGGGGTCCGACGGCCCGCTGGGACCTGAGAACCCCCCTAGTAGGGCCTCCGGGCTCGGTGCAGAGGAGCCCGGTTCCTGCGGCCGGGCGGACGCGGCACAGCTGACCCGCCGGGGGCTGGTGACCGGTCCCCAGGCCGCGTACCTGTGGCTCGCGGGGCGGGGTTGGGGCGCGGCCGGCGGAAGCGAGAGAGGTGGTGCCTGCTCTCTTCGTGGGCGGCCGGGCTCAGGCCCATCCCGTTTCTGCGGCTGGAGGAGCCCGGGGCGGGGGTGGAGGGCGCTGGCGCAGCGCGGTGAGGCCCTGCCGAGGGCGGAGGGGCGCCAAGCGGGGAACCCGGGGCGCGCAGCAAACGGCGGGAGCGCGCGGGCGCTGTGCGCACGGCGGAGGGAACCGAGAAGGCGCTCGGGGGGGCGCTTAGAGGCCCAGGAAAGGCGGCGGCCGAGGTCATCCCGGGAGTGGAAGGCAACGCTGAACAGGAGGCACGGAGGCCCGAGGCGCGGTCCGACGTGGCTGCAGAAGCCAGACGGAGCCGACCGAGGAGCGACAAACGCATTGATGCCAGATGAGGAGGGCCTGGGGAGGCACGCTCAGGAGTTAAGATCTTGAGGGATTCAAAGTTTTTATTTGAATTATTTATGTGACTTAAATTATATATTTTGTAACTAATTATATATAATATGTAATATATGCAAAAGAACACATGGAGGGGCGCCTGGGTGGCTCAGTCAGTTAGGCGTGGGACTCTTGATAACAGCTCAGGTCTTGATATCAGGGTCGTGAGTTCTAGCCCAGGGATGGCTCCACGCTGGGTACTGAGGCTGCTTAAAAAAACAAAAACACATGAAGTACATGTATTGCGAAACATAATAAAATTACTGCCCATGAATACACCAGTCTACTTAAGAACGGGAACATACCTAGCACAGATGCTCCTACCTGTGTTTTCCTCCCTTATCCCATCCTCCTGCCGCCCTCTGCCAGAGGTAACCTTTCCCACTCTTGTGTCTATTATGCCCTCGCTGCTTTTGTTTTTTTTTAAGATTTTATTTATTTGAGAGAGAGAGAGAGAGCATGAGCAGAGGCAGGGGCAAAGGGAGAGGGAGAAGCAGACTCGGTGCTGAGTGGGGAGCCCTTCCCTGGGCTGATCCTAGGATCCTGGGATCATGACCTGAGCTGAAGGCAGACGCTTAACCAACTGAGCCACCCAGGTGCTCCCATGCCCTTGCTTTTTAAGATGGCTTTTTAAAGTCCCTTCTTTGTACTCCTCATACATCGTTTTTGCAGATTTGAAGATTTATAAAAACGGGATGCTGTATGTTATCTTCTGCAACTTGCTTCTTTCAAAGCTGTTTCCATCATACATACATATTACTGTATAAATCTGTAATTCATTTTCCCTGCTGGAAAATATTCCATTCTGTGAATATACTACAATTTATCAACCTGGTGATAAAGCCACATGGTTTTTTCCCAATTTGGAATTAGAAGCTATTGAAGAGAACCCAAATTGTGCCCTGATGGATGTACACAAAAGATTCTACAGAATTTAGTACCTGGGAAGGTATGCAAATATTCAACTTTACAACAGAATACTAAAACATTTTCCCAAGTGATGGTGCCCATTTCACTTCTACCAGCAATGTGTAAGAATTCTTGTGGATTTATGTCTTCACCAACACTTAGTACTGTCATACTTGTTTTTTCCAGGTAAATGGATTATAAAATAGTATTTTACTAAGAAGTCTTACTGGAAGTTTTAATTTATATTTCACTGATTACTAAGATTGAAATCTTTACATATATGTATCAGCCATTTAGATTTCCTCTTGTAAAAAGTGCCTGTTCCTGTCTTTTGCCCAATTTTCTTTGGAGTTGTCTTCTTATTAACGTGTAGAAGCCGTGTATGTATTCTTGATGCTCATCTTTGTCGGTTCTATTTGTTTACACATATTTTCTTCCAGTTAATGGCTTGTCTTTTCACTTTATGAGGTCTCCAGATAAAGAGAAGTTATTAACTTTAATGAAGTAGAGTTTATCAGTCCTCTCTTTTATGATTAGCACTCTGTGTCTTGCCATGAAGTTCTTTCTTGCTCCGAAGTCAGAAAAATATTCTCGTGTATTTTCTTGTAAAAGTTTTAAAATTTTGTCTTTTTCATTTAATCTACTTGGAATTGATTTTTCCCCATATGAATAATCCCCATATGATTTCTCTCAGCCTGGTTTATTCACTGTTTCTTCTTCCCCCAGGAATAAGCAAGACCATCTGTGTTATGTGTCAGACTCTAGTGAATGAGCAAGAATATCGTTGGCTGTCTTCTACTCCACTGGTAAATATGTCTATCTTTGTGTTACTATCATGTGATCTTAATTACTATATCTTTATGATAAATCTTGATATATGGAATTCTTGAGACTTCCCCCCTTTATTCTTCCACAGGAGTTTCTTGGCTATTCTTGGGCTTTTGCCCTGCCATAAATATTAGCTTGCTAAATTGCTCAAAATACTCTGTAGACATCTTGTTTGAAATTACATTGAGTCAAGATACCAATTTGGCAGTTTTGACATCTTTACAAAATGGAGTCTTCCCATTGATTACATATTATCTCTGTTTGTGAGATCTTCTTTAACAACTTTCAGTGAAGTTTTATATTATTCTTCATAAAGATCTGATCTTTAGTATATTACATTTCTCCCTCTACTCATTTGGAAGTTTATACTCTATTCTTTTATTTATTGCCCTTGAAATTTTAACATGCATGCTCAAAGTCTAAAAGTAATATCTTAAACACCCCTCTGCAACAATGCAAGGACATAAGAACACTCACTCCTGTCTTCCTCTCCCATATTATTTTAGTGTTGCCCTTTTTTAAAGCCTGAATTCACGTTATTACCATTCATATATTACACAGACATATGTTTTATTTTGCCTGCTGGCCACTACCTTTGCTCATCACTCCTTGCATTGCAGACCTTCCCTCTGAGGTCATCTTTCTTCTTCCTAAAACATAGCCCTTTGGAGCTCCTATCTCGAAGATCTTTGGTGATTCACTCCTGGCTCTTGTGGACCCCAGATGAGGACCCTAGACACCCTTGTGGCATCATGTGAAGGAGCTAAGGTGGAGGAACAAAGAGCTGGGGGGCTGTTCAGACAACCAGGCTGGGCTGGAGGGCTGGGAGAGGAAGGACTCCTACCTGTGGAAGGGCCCAAAGGGAGACCCGGGGGCCTCTCTGAAGGGATCCTCAGAGAGTGACAGAGAGTACTTGAGTAAAAGAACTTTGCCCGCACACCCTCTCTACCAAGACCACATGAGCAGAGGCCCCAGCACTAGGACTAGAATGGCATAGAGCTGGAGAGCGTCCATTAACTGCCCATGGCTTACCCAGGGTCTGTCAACTCTGGTCTTCCTCCTTGCTCCCAGCTGCAGTAGTGCCCAGAGTGTGCTCCTCCACACTCCCAGGCCCTTAGGCCATGCATCTCATCCCAGGTAAATTAGAGTTAAGATCAAAGCTGAGCACTGAGTTGTGGTTTTGATTTGGTTGATTTTCTTGGTGGGTATTTATTTATTTATTTATTGGGGGGGGTTGTTTGGTTTTGTTTTTATTATGGAAATATTCACACACAAATAAAAGTGGAGGAAAGATAATAATGGATCCCCATTTACCTTTCACCCAATCTCTCCAGTCTTCAATACATGGCCAATCTTGCTTCATCTACAATCCCACCCACTTCCTCTACACTCGGAATATTTTGGAGCACATGCCAGATGGCGGATTATTTCATCAGTAAATATTTCAGTAAATATCTCTAAAAGATGAGGCGACTTTTCAAAATGAAGATGACCATGATACCTTTAGCACATTTAAAAACATTTTAGCAGTTCCATAATGTCATCAAATAGCCAATCAATGTCTACATCTCCTTGATTTTGCTTATATGTTTCCTAAGTGGTTTTTGCTTGGACCGAAATCCAAACGAAGTCCACAAGTTACAACCAGTTGATGTGCCTCTTAATTTAATTGAAAGATCAATTAAAGTAGGAGTCAGCACCTACCCACTAACTACCACCCATTGCCTGTTTGTGTATGGCCTGAGAGCTAAGACTGGTTTTATACATTGTTCAATGGTTTCGAAAATAAGATTATTTGTGTCATGTGAAAATTATATGATATTCAGCTTTCAGCATCCATGTTTGATTTATTTTTATTTATTTTTTTAGGGTTTTATTTATTTATTTGACAGAGAGATAGAGAGAGCCAGAGAGTATAAGCAGAGGGAGCGGCAGAGGGAGAAGCAGTCTCCCAGCTGAGCAGGGAGCCAGACACAGGGCTTGATCCCAGGACCCTGGGATCCTGGAAGCATGACCTGAGCCGAAAGCAGTAGCTTAACCAAAACTGAGCCACCCAGGTGCTCCCCATGTTTGATTTAAACATAACCATACCCAGGGCACCTGGCTGGCTCAGTCAGTTGAGTGTCCGACTCTTGATTTAGACTCAGATCATGATCTCAGGGTTGTGAGATGGAGCCCCACACCCAGTTCGGAGCCTCCTTAAGATTCTCTCTCTCCCTCTCCCTCTGCCCCTCCCCTGCTCTCTCTCTCAAAGAATAAAAATAAATAAATAACCATATGTTTTATTTTCAGGTTATGTATGGCAACTTTCCCCTAAAAGGGCAGGGTTGCGTAGTCGCTGTGGCATCTGAACCTTTATAGCCATCCAAGCTTAACATATTTACCCTCTGGCTCTTTACAGAAAATGTTTGCCAACCTCTAATCCTATAGGTTTCTCCTCCACCTCCTTTCTTCCTCATAACTTTTTAATTGAAGAAACAGGGGCACTCGCTCAGGCAGCACACATACCAAAGTTGGAATGATACAGAAACAATTAGCATGGCCTCTGCACAAGAATGACATGCAAATTTGTGAAGCGGTCCATATTTAAAGAA